AAGGCTGAGAAAGGTGAGGAAGCTGCAGGAGAAAAGTCTGAAGCTGGCAGAGGGGAGTTCACGAGGTTTAAGGAAAGACGCCGTCTCCATAACATCAAAGTGCAAAATGAAGCAGCAAGTGCTGACAGAGAAGCTGCAGCCAGTGATCCAGAAGATCTGGGTAAAATCATTAATAAAGGTGGCTACACTAAACAACAGATTTTCAATATAGATGAAACAGCCTTCTGTTGGAAGAAGATGCCATCTAGACTTTCACAGCTAGAGAGAAGTCAATGCCTGGCTTCAAAGCTCCAGAGGACAGGCTGGCTCTCTTGTTAGGGGCTAATGCAGCTGGTGACTGTAGGTTGAAGCCACTGCTCCTTTGCCATCTGAAAATCCTAGGGCCCCTAAGAATTATACTAAATCTACTCTGTCTGTGCTCTATAAATGGAACAACAAAGCCTGGGATGATAGCACATGTGTTTAGGACATGGTTTACTGGATATTTTAAGGCCACTGTTGAGACCTACTGCGGAGAAGAAAAGATTCCTTTCAAAATATTACTGCTCGTTGACAATGCACCTGATAACCCAAGAGCTCTGATGGACAATGAGTTTGTCACTGGCATGACCTCTGAGGCCCTGAACTCAGGAAACTCCTAGAAGCTTCTAACTATCAATTTCATCTTTTAGAAACTATCCAACAAATTGCTGGAACAGGAAAAGAAACATTTGAGTAGATCCCAGGACTATCCCTGCTCAGATGAATCAGAAAGTGCCTGCAAAGCTACCTCAGCTCTCATCTTTATTATAATGTTAAAATCTCCTCTGAATGTTTCTCCTGAGCCCTCATAAAATGGGCCCGCTCACCCGTTTGGAGAGTCATCCCACATGATTTCCTTGTTTGTACAAATAAAGATGACTTAGTGAGGGAGCTAACTCACCAAGGAGGGGATGTACATCGGTTCAGTAATAAGATGAATGTGATTTTCATGTCTACTAACACAACATCCATTCTGCAGCCCATGGATCAAGGAGCAACTATGACTTTTAAGTCCTATTATTTAAGAAATACATTTCATAGCTGCCATAGATAGTGATTCCTCAGATGGAGCTGGGCAAAGTATACTGAAAAACGTCTGGAAAGAATTCACAACTATAATGCCATTAAGAACATTTAAGATTCATGGGATGGGGTCAAAATATTAACATTAACAGGCTTCTGGAAGAAGTTGATTCCAAAGTCATGGATGACTTGGAGGGGTCCAGACTTCAGTGGAGGAAGTCCCTGCAGATGTGGTGGAAACAGCAAGAGAACTAGAATTAGGAGAGGAGCCTGAGGATGTGACTGAATGGCTGCAAGTTCATGATAAAACTTGACCGGATGAGGAGTTCCTTTTTATGGATGAACACAATGTGGTTTCTTGAGAAGGAATCTACTCCTGGTGAAGATGCTGTGGAGTTTGTTGAAATGACAAGAAAGTATTTAGAATGTTACATAAATGTAGTTGATCGAGCAGCAGCAGGGCTTGAGAAGATCGACTCTAATTTTGAAAGAAGTTCTGTGGGCAAAATGCGGTCAAACAGGACTGCATGCTATAGAGAAATCATTTGTGAAATAAAGAGTCAATCGGTGCAGCAAACTTCATTGTTGTCTTACTTTAAGATATTGCCACAGACACCCCAACCTTCAGCAACCATCACCTGAATCAGCCGACAAGAACATGGAGGCAAGTCCCTCCCCAGCAAAAAGATTATGACTTGCTGAAAGCTCAGAGGATGGTTAGCCTTTTTTATGGTTAGCAACAAAGTTGTGGGTTTTTTTTTAAGATTTTATTTATTTATTCATGAGAGACACACACAGAGAGAGAGAGAGAGAGACAGAGACACAGACAGAGGGAGAAGCAGGCTCCATGCAGGGAGCCGGACGTGGGACTCGATCCCGGGTCTCCAGGATCACGCCCTGGGAAGAAGGCAGCGCCAAACCGCTGAGCCACCCAGGGATCCCCAACAAAGTGTTTTTTAATTAAGACATGTACATTGTTTTTTAAGATGTAATGCTATTGCACACTTCATAGACCACCATATAGTGTAAACATAGCTTTTATATGCATTGGGAAACAGAAAAATCCACGTGACTCACTTTATGGTGATACTCACTTTATTGCCGCAGTCTGGAACCGGACCTAATCTCTGAGGTATGCCTGTACTTTCTTTCTCGGTGACAAAGCAGAGGCAATGCTTTCTGATAGATGCCAGCAGTTCCCAGAAAGTGTTAGGATCCACTTCACAAATACAATTCTACTAATCACAACTAGAATCATTTCCAGACGACCATTTATTTTAACATTAGCTCCAGGTCCTGACCAGTCAGATTCCTTATACTTTCCAACTCAGGGCTAGAGTTCTTTGATGACTCAAGAAGCTCAACAAGCTCACCAAGGGCAAAGCTGTGGAGTCTGGAATTTGTCAGCCCTTGCTACGTGGTCACACTTCATGGGGTTTGTTGCCCACCCTCCTTGCCTCCCTTGACTTCCTCCTCCCTTGATGTGTGTTTCACTCCTGCTCCTGTCCACTTCATCTTGTCTCTTTGGCTGAATTCACTTTGTCCTTCAAAATCATGTCTCAGTTTTTTCCCCTCTCCCCAGAATCTTCCTGGGGACGTCATTCATCCTATGACTTTCACCATCACTTCTATACATATGATGCCTGAAACGGTAATAACAGTCTTGTCCTAAACATCAAGCTGCTGCTTCCAACTGCCTCCTGGAATCTAGTTCACACATTATTTAGACTGAACCTGTTCAAATGCTCTCTCCCTGTCCCCACCCCAGTTCCGCTTCCCTCTTTCTAACACAATTATTGTCACTATCCACCATGTAAACCTTGGTTCTGGAAAAGAATTAACATAGGAGACCTGAGACTACTGACATTAAAAAGTTTTGTTTCTGAGATTGATCAGTGGCTGGCATCTGAGGACTTGGCTACTAAACCATTCTCTACACTGATCTGAAGCCTTCCCTAAATGACAAGGGCTCACTGTGCCTAAACTATTTGTATACAACAATGTGGTTTATGCTGAATGTCTCATTTCCTTCTAAAAGTCTGGAATTTTGGTAAACATTAGGCAGAGGGTACCTATCTGACCAGTTCCCACTTCAAAGCCTGGATGAGGGGATCCCTGGGTGGCTCAGTGGTTTAGTGCCTGCCTTTGGCCCAGGGCGCAATCCTGGAGTCCTGGGATCGAGTCCCACGTCAGGCTCCTGGCATGGAGCCTTCTTCTCCCTCCTCCTGTGTCTCTACCTCTCTCTCTCTCTATGTCTATCATAAATAAATGAATAAATAAATCTTTTTTTAAAAAAAAAAAGCCTACAGTTGTCAATGTTGCCACATCTCATTGCAGAAGGAATTGAGCGCCTCCTGTGCAAATCTGCTGAAAGAAGACTCTTGGAAGCTTGCATCTGGTTTCCACCATCTTCACTCCATTTCTCTTTCCCTTTGCTAACTTTGCTGTATATCCTTTTGCTGTCATCTTAGCCATGGAAATGACCAGGTGATGAGCCTTGCAAGTCTTTCTAGCAAATCACTCAATCTGGGGGAGGCCCTAAAGTCCCCTGACACATCTTAGTATAATCCTAACCCTCTTTTCCTTGCCCTCTATGTTCAATTAATCACCAATTATCATTAGCTCTACCTCTAAATTTTAAATTTTTTTAAATTAAAAAATTATTTATTTATTTTAAATATTTTATTTATTTATTCATGAGAGACACAAAGAGAGAGGCAGAGGGAGAAGTAGACTCCATGTAGGAAGCCAGCTGTGGGACTCCATCCCGGGTCTCTGAGATCAGGCCCTGAGCCAAAAGCAGATGCTAACTGCTGAGCCACCCAGGCATCCCAATTTTTTTATTTTTAAAGTCATCTCTACAACCCAACATGGGACTCAAACTCAACCCGGAGATCAAGAGTTGCATGCTCTACTGACTGATCCAGCCAGGTGCCCCTCTACCTCTAAATATTTTTAAAAATATGTCCTGTGTTCACTACCCTCATTGCCTTGAGGTTACAACTGTGACTCCATCTGGGCATTACTTTCCCTGCTTTCCTCCACTATAAAAAGCAAAACTCCAAGAGATGCATTTCTGGGATGCCAAGTAGCCTGGCATTTGGGGGTGTTCTTGTCCTCAGGCTAGGTGTCCTCATGAGAGAGAATGATGAAACAAAGCTTTTTTGTGGTTGCAGAGGGTGGGTACAGCAGAGGAGGAAGCCAGAATGGCCATGGACTTCTCCAGATAGCTGATGTTATCACTACAAATGTTTGCAGTTGTGCAACACCATCAGCTATTTCAGACCAAAAAAGCCACTGCATGGGACTGAAGAGCCAGCAGCATCATAGGCAATAAAAATAGAAATTAAGACACACACAGATCAATATATGAGGTGATGGATGTGTTAACTAGATGGGGGGAATTCCTCCACAATGTCTATGGATGTCAAATCATCACAGTGTACAATTAAAAGTTTCTTCTTTCTTTCTTTCTTTCTTTCTTTCTTTCTTTCTTTCTTTCTTTCTTTCTCTTTCTTTCTTTCTTAAGATTTTATTTATTTATTCACAAGAGACACAGAGAGAGAGGCAGAGACACAGGCTGACGGAGAAGCAGGCTCCATGCAGGGAGTCCGACGTGGGACTCGATCCCAGGACCCCAGGATCAGGCCTTGGGCCAAAGGCAGGCGCTAAACTGCTGAACCACCCAGAGATCCCTGAAAAGTTTCTACTTTCAGTATCTTTGGTGGCTATCCCAGGAATTTTGGTCTGAATGAAAAACCTTATGGGATTGTTACAAAAGCTCTCCACAGTTGAAATAATGAAATCCTATAACTTAAAGATCTACTCAGGATCCCAAACATCAATATACTTATCAACAAAGTTGAATTATTCACTCTAAAATTCCATGCTATTAAAAATCTCAGAGAAATAACCTCTGATCAAAAAACAAACAAGAAAAAGCAGCAAAGGCAAGCTGGGTAGTACATTAACTTTATTTTGAATTATAACATGGAATATATCATCAAACAAATGGATATAATGAAAACTTTTATAGTTCAATTAACAAATGATTTGCATAGGAATTGCTAGTTCTGTCTTAGGATGCAGAGCTCACTGAATTTGAATTAGATTAACATAAAATAAGTATCATAAAAAAATAAAAACCATCCACCTGTGTGCAAAACAAATGCAATTTTATTTCAAATAACAGACTTTTTGTTCATTCTTTGGTGAGTGGTTAACATATTCATCTTTCCTACTATGGATAATGTCATAAGCTCATCTAGATCAAATGTGATCGTTCTAAGCTAAAGACCACTTACCTATAGCAGGGAAGCCTATATTTTTTATTGTTAAAGCTACTGGATTCATTTTTATGGCCCTAATATTGATCAAGAACATTAACTACTTAAAACAACAGGCCAAGGCCAACATATCTTACGGAAAACATTATGTTTGTGATTTCATCCCATTTTATGTTTTGGAACTCTGTTATCAGTGTCCATAATATTGTTTTGATTTATATCAGTGATGAACATTCAGTTTTGGCCTAAGGGCTAACAAAGGGGGGAAAACACAAAGCATTTAAGGCCACACTACTTTCCTCTTCAAAATGAACACAGCTTTATGAAATTTCCATGGGGGAAAGTGTATTTGTACTACTTTGCTAAGTAAAAGAAAGTCAGTGAGGAAACCAGCACTGCCTTTTAGCTACTAAAAGTTTATATCCAGGGGTTTTAGTGATATAGACAGAACTTTCTAAGTTTTAAAAAAATTATTGGAGCGAGAGGAGAGAGAGGAAGAGTGAGGGAGAAGCAGATTCTCTGCTGAGCAGAGTCCGATGTAATGTGGGACTTGATCCCAGGACCCCAAGATCATGACCTGAGCCACCCAGGTGCCCCAGAGCTTTCTAAATTTTATCCTGAAATGAGACTGCAGACTTGTTGCATAGCTAGTCAGGCTGTAGACATCTCTGGCAGCTCTGTGGGTTGCTCATTACTCTCTTGGTTTGTGATATTGATTAAAATAAGCTGATTTTTGTTGATTATTTTATTGATCATAAAAAACTTTAAGAGAATATCTTCTAATTTCAAAAATTATATTCCATCATTTATTGACTTCAAGATACTGCTTCTAGCACTACTGCAAGTTGGTTAGAAAAAAACTTTGGGGATTGCATTTCCTTCCATCTTAACATGTCTTTACATAGAACATTAGCTGGAAAACAGAACAAAACATGAAAAGAAAACCAAAGATGTATTTAAATAACAGAAATGCCATCAGCATTTATTATGGTAAATTAGAAAGATCGTCTAATTTTTGTGTGTGCAATTAGGCACTGACTGAGGCATTTAGACACCATTGAGTATAAAGTGCATTGAACATAAATTTTGACTCCCCTCCAAGGAATAATTCAATAAAACTCAGGTTTCTTTCTTGGAGTCAGTCAGCTCAAGAACATGCATAGATGAACACTTGTTAAATACGAATAACAGTCTTTATTATTTATACTCCTGCAATAGAATAGCAACATATTGTACTTGCAGATGTCACATTTCACCCAAGGACCTCAAAATCACTATGACAGCAACTGGTGCTGGAAGCTCAGGGCTGCACAGACTATTATGTCTATTTAGTTATGGCATGGGAAGCAGATTCCCAACAATAGAACCAAAATAAAAGTTTCAAGAGACAAGCCTAAGTTTCTTGTGGTTTGTAATTTTCTGAGTTTCCAAATTTGCCACTCGTATCCTATCAGACCTACAATATTGATTCTAGGTAAAAATGATTTTTCTTTTTTTTTTACCTGTTCAGAATAAGATGAGGATTACCTCGCAAATAAACAATTTGTCTTTTTTATACTTCAACAGTCTATCTTTGAAAAAATAACATGGTGGAATGTCAGAAGTATCTCTCTAATGTCAATTTATGCATCAATTCAGAATAAACACGCTTACGATCTCTGGGTAGAAGAAAACACCTTATGCTAGGATGACATACATCTACATGTAAAATATGAGGGAGCTATATCTCTTAGCACACTGACATGTAATGCAAAAGCAGAAGTGCTTTGATTCACTGAAGAGCAGCCTTTCAGTCTTTTAAAGGCTTTTGTCATCTTGCTTTAACCTCTTCGAGGGGTTAACTCTTAGAGTTTAACTGAGAGACCCAACTTAGTGGAGTTTAAGATGAGTTTCTGTGGACTCCACAACCTGCCAAGGCCCCATAGCAGTGGAGTCACAGGCTAGCGTAAGAAACCACAGGCCAGCGTAAGAAACTCAGGGTAGTGAGGGCAAGGGGTCCCAGAGCCTTTCTGTTCTTGCCTCGGGCCATGTAGCCCAGCTCCTCCCTGGTCAGGGACTCAGGGTGGGCGTTCTGAGCATTTCCTTTCTTAAAGGAATTTCCAACACTATTTGTAAAGCAATTTCTTTTTGGACAATGTGGTTAGGGTTTCTATCTTTCAGCGGAATATGGAACTAAGTTAGCTCTCTCTGGGTCCTTCTTTACTTCGGAGGAGACGTAGGATCCGTTCATTTTTGGTTAGTTCTGCTGGAAGTTCATTGGCCTGAAAGAAGATAAGACAGGTGTTGGTGAATTCCCACCGCTGGGATTGTTTTAGGGACTCTGAAGAGGGGCCCCTGACCCAAATTTGCTCCTCTGCTGGTGAAAAACCCCACTGGATTCACCGTTGTTTAAGTTAAAGGTCACCTTTAATAATATAAATATCATCTGTTATTTTTTTATCTCCTTGTCTATTTCTCTCTCTAAGCCATATCCTTAGTACCCTGCAATCTTCTGGAGGTCAGGGGCCATGTATTATTAATCACTGTATCCTCATTTCCAGCACAATGCCTGGTGCATCTGTACGTGCTCAATAAATACTGGCAATGTTAAATTTGATACTTTATATTTAATTCATTTATTATATGGGGCAGTCTGTGCTAGGGACATAAGACTCAGGACAGGCATCTGCTGATGAGAAAACAGAGTCAGGAAATATTCAGAGAATAAGAGATATCTATCTGGTCAAGAGCAGCTTCAGTGGCCACCACTTCCCACCTGACCCTATAGTTTCACTGAATGTTCTTTCTTATCAACATGCTGCTGGGAAACATTCTTTTATTTTTTATTTTTTTTATGAGAGAGAGAGACAGAGACACAGGCAGAGAGAGAAGCAGGCTCCATGCAGGAAGCCTGAGGTGGGACTCGATCCCGGGTCTCCAGGATCAGGCCCTGGGCCGAAGGCGGCCCTAAACCGCTGAGCCACCCGGGCTGCCCTGGGAAACATTCTTGATGCATTTATTTCATGAGTGTGTCCTTACCCTGTGTAATTGACGTTATGGGGCAGTGGTTCTCAAACTTTCTGGCCTCAGAACATTTTTACACTCTTAAAAATTATTGAGTATCCCAATGAGCTTTTGCTTTTAACTTCTTAGAAATGAAAATAAGAACACTTAAAAATACTTTAATTCATTAAAAATCATAAATGCACTACAGGGTAATTAATATAAGTAACATTTATGAAAAATAAACTTAAAAAAAGAAAAAAAATTATGAAAAACAACCAAATTTCTAGAAACAAAAATGTTAGGTCAAGAGTAGCATTGTTTGGGCAGCCTGGGTGGCTCAGCGGTTTAACGCCACCTTCAGCCCAGGTCGTGATCCTGGGGACCTGGGATCGAGTCCCACGTCAGGCTTCCTGCATGGGGCCTGTTTCTCCCTCTGCCTGTGTCTCTGTCTCTCTCTCTCTCTCTCTCTCTCTCTCTCTGTGTCTCTCATGAATGAATAAATAAAATCTTAAAAAAAAAGAGTAGCATTGTTTAAGAGATTTGAATATTTCTTGAATATGTAGCTTAATCAAAGACATTTGGATTTTCATTACTTGCTTCTGTATCCAACCTATTCTGATACGTTGTTTTGGTTAAAGCATGAAGAAGGGGCACCTGGGTGGTTCAGTGGTTGAGCGTCTACCTTTGGGTCAGGGCATGATCCCGGGGTCCTGGGATTGAGTCCTGCATTGGGCTCCTGGCAGGGAGCCTGCCTCTCCCTATGTCTCTGCCTCTCTCTTTGTGTCTCTTATGAATAAAGTATATGAAGAAAATGAAGAAAATTCAGCTTTGTACAGATAGGTAGTTGGAAAAGGGGGAAACATGAACAGCCTTTTGCGATCATTGTAGATACTCTCCTTTGATGCTATACCTATACTAAACAAGTGGTAGTTTCTTAAAGGTAAAGGCAGTGTGGAATCTGAAACCATATCAGTGAGTTTTTTACATTAAAAATCCATTGATCTATTTATCTACAGGGAGGATTTTTCCCCATGTATGATTTGTAACATCCCACACTGGTCACTTGGAAAATATCAGTTCAATGAGTTATAGGATCTTTCAAATGTTGACATAAATGTTGCATTACGCAATCTCAAAAGATCACATTCATTAATATCAGCTCTGATTCATAAGAAAAGCCTGTATTAAAAAGCTGTCAGGCTTGCATGGTGGATACAAGTTGTTCTTTAAAGTTAAAATGGTGTTCTCTGAAAAAGCAACTGGCTCACTTTGCAATTCAAACAATGGAGAGTGCTTTTCCTTGAGACAACCACAACATATCATATGTGCTGTATGCATACTTCCATTTTGTTATGTAGAATCTTAAAACAAGGGTCAAGATTTAATAAAATTAAAATTGTTTATTGCTTCATCAAAGATGTTAAGTAAAACTGGCATTTTTGTAAATAATTTACAAAATCTGTAAAATAACTTACAAAGTTTTGTAAAATCATCTGCCAGTACAGTTAATACCTCTGCTTTGATGTATAAGGTGCCAATAGTTTGACCCACCATTGCTTTTACAACATTAGAGCAAATGTCAGCACGGTGAAACGGGCAAATAACACCTTTGTATTATTACAAAGATTATTATTATTGACTTCTTAGACTTCTTAAAGGGGTCTTACAGACCCTCAGGGGTCCACGGACCATACTTTGGGAACTGTTGCTAAAGATGAATCACGGGATGTTCTTGGGATTTCAGGGGAGGCAGGTAAAGGGTAGAAAGGCACCCAGAATGGGGGAGAGGCCTTGGATGCAGATCTTACCTATCTTACATATATATATATATTTTTTTTTGTCCCAGAGCCACACCTGGAATTATACCTGCTTTATCTGGGACCCTGATCCTAGGTGAATCTCCTGAAGTCCCTACCTTCTAGGTTGGGTCCTGCTCGTTGACCGCCACCTGCTAGCTGGGACTATACTTGTCGGGAATTATTCATGGAGTTGCTGGGAATTTATGTTTGCCACAAATGATCTGCTGCACAGTATGTCCAGTGGCTGCACCCCAGCCCACCACAAAGGACTCCTGATGCTGATGCTGGACTGAATTGGGCAGGAAATTACTATGCTATGTTACTACAGACCAGAGTCCCCTCTAGAGGCTCGAATCCTACTATTAGTTCCTGTAGGAACAGACGTCATACAGGCCAAATGCCTGGGCCTGCACAGAAATGCTCCTGGTTTAAACAGACATAAGCTCCATCTAGTCTCAGAGTACTCAGGACTAATCTAGCTTTTTTGCATGGGTTCTAGGTCCTTGGTGAGCAGGTTGGCAGGCAGCCAGAAGAAGGAGGAAGAGGAGATCTAGAAAGCTGTATTTCTATGTACAAGCTTGCTGAGTTACAGCTCCCGTGCGTGACCATCCCCATGAATGTCTATAGCCTTTACCATTGAAAAAGGGCTTCATCTCCTCACACTGTGTTGTCAATTTGGTCATTGCATTGCTGTTCTATGTATCATCCATATAGTTCTAAAAACCTGATCTCATTCCTCCTCTCTCCAGGTTGGTCCCCATTGAATGCTCAGAGTGCTGAGGTTGTGTGGACTCTCATGATGGCTAGTGCCCCAGCCTTGCTACCAAGGGCCATCTTCTTCATTATGGAGCAGGGCCACAGGCCCATATTCATGGTAGCACAGCACCAAAATACCCTCTTTCCCCACTGGTCCTGGGAGAATTTGTGTTCGGAGTCCTCGGTTGGGAGTATCGGGAACATGGGGCCTGCACCCATGGGGACAACTACGGTGTGGGGAGTGGCTCTGGGGGCCATGGGTTACCCTCTCCTACGGGATCTGCTTATCAGTCCCAGAGCAGAAGTTCTGGAACCCTAGGAGCAGAAGATTGCTTCTGTTTGAGCTTATAAGTCATTTCCTCTGGGAAGCTTTCGGTAGCGTTCATTACTTCCCTGCTGATAGCTCTTGTCACTGTATATTGCAATTTCTGTTTCAGTTGTTTTTATTCCCTCATAAACTCTGAACTCTTTGAAGGCAGAGACTATGGGAACTTCATTCACCACTGTCTTTCCAGTATACAGCACCGTGCATGGTATCTAGTAGGTGCTCAGTATTTGTTGAATGAATGAAGGCAGAGAATACCCTTTCAAGAGTCCTGAGTGGCTGCTGGAATCCCAACACCTTTGCTTCTAGGGCTGCCTCCAAGAGGCTGGCTTCTTTGGGGTGGCTGGTAGATGTGTAAGATGGGGGGGCGGGGTTCCCTGGTAACAACTCCTAGATATCTAAAGCTTCTGTTGTATGAAATTCTAGTGTGGGAGTGTCTGGGTGACTCAGTCAGTTAATTGTTTGCCCTTGGCTCAGGTTATGATCCCAGAATCCTGGGACTGAGCCTCACATCAGACTTCCTGCCCAGCAGGAAGCCTATTTCTCCTTCTCCCTCTGCTGTTTTCCCTGCTTGTGCTCTCTCTGTGGCTCTCTCTCTTAAATAACTAAATAAATAAAATCTTAAAAAAAAAAAAAGAAACTCCAGCATCAGCACGAGCAATATATATATATCTTTATATCTTTATATCTTTATTTCTTTATATCTTCAAGTAGCTTAGGGATAATCCAAAGTCTAACATTTTGGTCACTGGAAATTCCCCATAACCATTATTGCTGAAACCCCAGGAGACAAAGAATTGCATGTTGTTTCAGTTTCCATATGGTACTGGATGGCTTTAGCAAGAAAGATCAATCTCTTTAGGCAGTCTTGTGTCCAGGATCTAAAGATAAGAGCACAAGTATGACTTTAGCTGGCTTATCACACAGCCAGGCCAGCTAATGGAAAACAAATTGGAGTCTACAGGAAGAGATAAGCAGAAGCCTTGTTTTCAAGTACTCTAATGGTAAGAACAAGGAAATAATAACTCCACATGCTAAGTAAATGAAATAAAAGAGTCTCCTGGCATGTTGTTTAATCGCACTTAATGGTTTCTTTTTAAAATGTCAGGGAAAAGGTTCTGTGTCGGCCTTTACTATGAAAGAAATTAACATAGCAATCGGGGATCCCTAGGTGGCGCAGCGGTTTGGCGCCTGCCTTTGGTCCAGGGCGCGATCCTGGAGACCCGGGATCGAGTCCCACGTCGCGCTCCCGGTGCATGGAGCCTGCTTCTCCCTCTGCCTGTGTCTCTGCCTCTCTCTCTCTCTGTGTGTGTGACTATCATAAATTAAAAAAAAAAAATAGCAATTGATACTTATAAAAGCTCAAATGGGGCAGCCTGGGTGGCTCAGCTGGTTTAGCACCTGCCTTTAGCCGAGGGCCTGATCCTGGAGACCTGGGATCAAGTCCCACGTCGGGCTCCCTGCATGGAGCCTGCTTCTCCCTCCGTCTGTATCTCTGCCTCTCTTTGTGTGTCTCTCATGAATAAATAAATAAAATTAAAAAAAAAAAAAAAAAGAAGCTCAAATGGGGCAACTGGGTGGCTCAGTGGTTGAGCCTCTGCCTTCAGCCTGGCCTGATCCTGGAGTCCCAGGATCAAGTCCCACATTGGGCTGCCTGCAGGGAGCCTTCTTCTCCCTCTGCCTATGTCTCTGCCTCTCTCTCTCTGTCTCTCATGAATACATAAACAAAATCTTAAAAAAAACAAAAGCTCAAATAGTACGTAGGTACAAAGTGAAAATTGCTTTTCATACCTTTCTTTATTGATGAGCACTTCCTCCTTCAAAAGTTGGTATTTTAGTGTTCTCTTAAAACCTTTTCTTGGCTGCTCTCTTTTGCCAGGTTCTGCACTTGACTGCTAATGCAGGAAAAAATGGGTAGTGGGGATCTTCCCACCTCCATGTCTGACCTATTCGTAAACTAAGGTTTTTAGCCTATAAAAAACATGGGTTGATTTGTAACAGCGGCACAAAGTCCTGTTAACTGTATAAGAGCAACATGTCCCCCTTTTTCTTCTACTCTCCAAAGAAAGCACAAGCAGTTGTCAAGCTATGAACATCCAATATACGCAGGATAGCAATAAACTACTAGAACTTTGACATTTTTAGGACACTTCCTTGATGATAGAATCCCATAACTCCACTCCCTGCAACTACTGCTCCCCATCCCCTGTCCTGAGAGGCTGTACTGTTGTTAGCTTACAGCCATTGACGATATAGGGTTTTCAGCATAATTCTCTGGGTCTAGGTGCACTGCTCATTGCTACCTACTGACAGCCTTGCAATGCCCTTACTATGCTGAGGTACGAAGAGACAGACTGAGTGATGAGACCCATGTTGGAGCTTTGCTCTTTCTTGTATTCCCTTTCAAAGACACCAGCATCTAATATAGTGTCCTGGGGTACACAGCGGATGGTCAGTGTAAGTATTGCCCGTGTTTTTTTCCAAGTGAAACGAAGTCTGGCCCAAGGTGCACGTGACTGGTTATCTTGGCTTAGGCTGAAACTGCCTTATCTCTTTGCATAGGAGCCCAAAGGAGTTAAAAGATAAGGAAAGGCAGATACCTTGTTTCTCAGGGCTGGGTCCGCCCCTGCTTCCAGGAGCAGCGCGACTGTTTTAATATTCCCACTGAGCACTGCTGCGTGGAGGGCCGATGTCCCATTCTAAGAGAAAACAACAGTGAGAGTCAGGAGTGGGCTCACAGGCATCAGCACTGAGCCAGGCTTTTATCATAAACCAACCTGAGTGATGAGACTCATGTTGGGAGCTTTGCTCTTCCTTCCATTCCCTCTCAAAGGCGTCAACATCTAATACAGTGTCCTCAGGTACACAGCACACAGAAGATGGGCAGTATAAATACTGCCAACGTCCTTTTGTAAGTGAAACAAGAAATCTGGCCCAGGGTACACATGACTTCACAATTGGTCTGGCAATTTTACATATATTAGAATTTGCTGCAGAAAAAGCAATCATGCTATGTTAAACATTGTTTTTTTCCTTCAAGAGCAACAAATATAGTTTCCGTGCTTCCAGCGAGGCTGGAGAAATGGCTGGCAAGCCAAAAGGCCCAGCAGTCAGCCCAGTTACCTGCACTCCCCTAACTCAGAGGGGGTAGGAGCACCACTGTGGAGTTCCAGGACCTGAGCACTTTGGGGGAAGAAACCCCCAAGCCCTTTTTTGGAGCATTTCTGAGCACAGAAGGGCCTGCCAGATAGGTTGCTGACATTTTATGAAATGCACTGCAAATATTTATTGAACTAAGGAATCATCTATGCACACCATGTCGCCAGATTCTGGGAAGAGAGAGGAAGAGAATATACCAAACCTGATAAAGGAATGATGGGTGGTCACATGATACCTGTTCCAGAAGATGCATATGTCTACCTATGGCATCTAAATGCAAGCTTAATTTACACATGAGCTGCTACTGCTACTACTACTAAACCATTTTCTTATTTTATGAAAGAAAAAAAATCATACCCATAGAAAAATTCCAAAAAAGTAGCATTTTCCTTTCCAAAGGAGCATGTTTGCTTTTATAACGTGTATGATAACTCACTTATCTGGTAACATTTCACCCACCTAAATTTTCACCAACTTGTTCAACTTCATCCATTTGCAACAGAGCTAAGGTAAAATACCAAGCCAAAATAGAGCTCTTTGAAATGAGACGAGACATTACAAAGTCCATTTCTGGAGCTCATTTCTTGTATTCACAGAGTTCTCTTTCATAGGCTATTTATTCTTACTTTACAAACAATTTTTTCTTATTTTATTTATCATAGTCACAGAGAGAGAGAGAGAGAGAGGCAGAGACACAGGCAGAGGGAGAAGCAGGCTCCATGCACCGGGAGCCTGATGTGGGATTTGATCCCGGGTCTCCAGGATCGCACCCTGGGCCAAAGGAAGGCGCTAAACCGCTGTGCCACCCAGGGATCCCTTACTTTACAAACAATTTTAATGAATGTAGCTTTCTGGCTTCCAAGCTCTTGGGAGATTAGAAATTGCTCACTGGGACAGAGAGGCCAGCATCCTGACAACAGCAGTCCTGTATTAGTTGATAACAAGAATAGAGCCTAAGTATATAAAGATCAGAAGCAGAGTATCCAAAAAGCTTTTGGGGTCATTCACAGGAAGATTGACTTTTCCCATCAATAAAGCCTGAGGATACATCCCCAAAAGTGCTAAGCCACTGTTTCAAGTTTAGAACAGGTTTCCCTGTCCTCAATTTAAGGAAATAGTAGTGTATAGTGTGTGTGTGTGTGGGAGGGGGGGTTCTGCGAACTATAGCCTATGGGCCAAATCTAGCCTGCCCTCTGTTTTTCTTTTCTTTTCTTTTTTTTTTTAAGATTTTATTTATTTATTTATTTATTTATTTATTTATTTATTTATTTATTTATTTATTTATGAGAGACACACACAGAGAGAGGCAGAGACACAGGCAGAGGGAGAAGCAGGCTGCATGCAGGGAGCCTGACGTGGGACTTGATCCCTGGTCTCCAGGATCAGGCCCTGGGCTCAAGGTGGCGCTAAACCACTAAGCCACCAGGGCTGCCCCCCTGTTTTTCTATGTCCTGACAAGCTAAGGTTTAAAAAACTTAAAAAAGAATACTATGTGAAAATATGAAATTCCAGAAATACAGTGTCCATAAATAAAGTGTTAATGGAATTGCAGCCATCCTTTGTCCCCTCCCCGCCATGGCTGCTTTCATGCTACAACAGTAGAGTTGAACAGTTCCAGCGGAGACTGTATGTATGGCCCACAAAGCCGAACATATTTATTACCTGGCCCTTTATGCCACCTTCTGGTATATATTGTAATTTAGAAATCTCTTAGTCTCAAATGGCTAAAATTTAAAGAAGAATTTTGGGGCTGTTTCCTTGTAGACCCAAGCTTTCCAGAATGATACATTCTTTGCTGTGTCCAGATATCTGAGGTTTATTTTATTTCACCTAAGGTAATAATGTGGTTCTTTGCTCCAGATAATGAAGGGAAGAAATGTGAGCATCTGTCCCCCAGGTTTTGTGGGACACAAATCATGTGTTTCATGAGTTGTGAAAGATTTTTAGTCCAATGATAAATATATATGATTTACTTTCCAAGTTAGTGTTTAATTTCTACTAACTTCTTTTTTTCTAGAAAACTAAGTACCTACAGACTCTGGTTCACTCTTCTTACCGCCCTGCCATTTCAACCAATGATCATGAATCTCCAACATTAAGAAGTTGGAGGTAAGTTTTTTTAAGAATGCAACTAGCCATGTGAATTACACTCAGATTCTCCTGCAGTCCTTAGTAGGGGCTTCTTAATTTTTAGCCTCTCTTCTACAGATTGTAAAATTTCTCTTTAAGTCTTACCTTCAAAATGCCAAGGGTGGGTGAGAACTTCAGCAACTCCTCTATAACATCATTATACCCTTTGTTGGCTGCTTTTAGTAAAGCTGTTGTACCATCCTTAACAGAGAGGAAAAGAAAAGTTGACTATTAATATATGTGTGTGTTGGCTAAGAACTAATTGTTACTTGAGAACCAGGAATATGCTTGTCAGAATAGGTGAAAGATTTAAACCAAAGGACAAGTGGGCCATATTTCTTAACCTAGGAGTATTTTAGAGCATATTTAGTTCTGCATGAAAGAGTGCTAGACAAAATAATTTATTATCTAAGAATCCTGCCTTTGGGGATTCATCTCTTCTAGTCTCTAGAACAGTGGGTAAAGGGAAAGGGGAATATCAAGAATGTATTTCAGGACACAGATCGACCAAAGAAGCATTGTCTGCAATTTACCACTTAGCAGAAATTGGTGTTAAACTATTTTTAATGATTAAATAATTACTGAATTGTCTTTAATTGTCTTTACTGTTTTAAATGTGCTTTTCTTTTTTGCTTTGTCTTGTAAACAACCTTGCTCCAGTGTGCCCTAGGTATCTGTCCTTGGAGGCTGGGGGTAGGTAGGTGGAGAGCAGGAAGGGGATGGATTGAAATCTGTTAAAAAGAAATGCAAAGGCAAGTTCAAAACTTTATAGTTAACTTCTGTCATCACTTTTTGGCCTGGGAAGAGAGTTTCCAAATTCATTTTTCTCCTGCTTTTACGTATCAATTGCTGTATTTGGAGGATTCAGCTCACAGAATTCTGTAGTAAAGTTAATACGCCAGCCTGCTCTAAAGGCTTAGCTGGAATCAGGAAGAAAGAAAATGAGATTAGAGGATTTTTCTTTTCTGGTTTCAGAGACGTGGGAAGAAGAGAGAGAGTGGGAGAAAAGACAGTAAAGTGGTCAGATTGGGTCTTTCCTCCTTTCTGGGCTCAGATGTAGAGAATGGACGTGGGTCATATGTGACCTGCTATGGCAGGAGTAATACTAAGGGAAACAAGGCCAGGCACTGTAAGAACCAAACCAAACCAAACCAAACCAAACCAAATCAAACCAGAACCAAAAAGCGAATGGCAGTGTGGTCAGGCAGCAGGGTCTCCCCAAGCTGCCGCAGGACCCGCTGAGGGGCCCACCGAGGCCGACTTAGGTGACATAAGCATTGCTGGGTGGAGGCCAATGGGGGATATGGTGCAGGGGTCTGCAGCTGGGGAAGTCAGGTGAGGCGGAGCCCCAGGAGCGCTGCGGGACCCCCAAACCACAGAGGGGGCGCCCCCACCGGCACTGCGGTCCCGGGTCAGCAGGAGGCGCAGCGCCCAGCGCACGTGCAACCCCTGAGGCCCGGCTCCTCCCTCCCGCAGCCTCTCGGGTTCATCAGTCAGCTCAGGTGCAGGAGGATCTGGGAGGATTACACATCTTTCCCTTAGGGAGACTGGGCAGCACTTGCAAAGGTTCAGCTGATTCAGACATTTACCTTGTTTTCCTGCCACAGAGCTGGTGGAGGGTGGGAGAAAGCCCAGGGGAGTCAGAGACCAAATAAAGGCGCGTTTTCTCTGCACGTCCAGGTTGGGCTGAATTTTGGAGCTTCGGTGCATGCACTCCTCCCCAGCCCCCCAGCCCCCCAGCTCTGGCTCAGACTCACGTTGCGGGCTGCGTCCCGATCCGCTCCGCGCAGCAGCATCACCCTCACCACCTCGCTGTGGCCCATCTGCGACGCAATCCACAGTGGCGCCGTCCCGTCCTGCAGGCGAGGGGACACGCTTGCTCCCACCGGGCCACCCGGCAGCCGCCGAGCAACAAGGTACGACCCACAACCATCCCCCCGACGACAAATGAGGACGGAGATTTTAAGCCACTTACACAGAGGGGCATGTGGCAGTGCCTGGACATGTGAGCCAGCGTTCGGGTTTGGGCTTATCATACAGCCACTGAATGGCAGGATCTTTTAGCACCTAGTGTGGTGCTCCAGGGCACGGAACTCAGAGCAGGAAGCCGTTGAGTTGCTCACCAAGATAAGCAGAACCAAACCTAACAAACCTGGGGAGGAGAAGCCTGCATGTCCTTATTTTCCCCTAGATTCAGTCAGTTTGTTTGCTTTACTGATGGGTTGACACAGCACACCCTACTGAGTGGGGGCCCTCATTCCCACAGAAGGGAGGGCAGTTTTTGGTGATGGGATGTGTGAAGGTCAGAACTAAAGACATTCCTTCAACTCTTCTATCCTTGTATCTAGAATCCCCCACAGTCACATCATTTTTAGGGAGTTTGGTTTTATGCAGGATGTGATATGGTTTCTTCTGGGAAGGGATGCCCACTCGTGAGTTATAGCAGGCCGGCATTTTTGGTAATATTTTCTGTGTATCGTTCCCCCAAAGAGCCTGTTTATGGGAGCACTAGGCCATGAAGCGGAGAGGTGCTGCTCTGGAGAAAAAGTGACACATCCAAGGGACGGAGAAGGGTTGGACAGGACGGTGGTTCCTGCTAGACACAAAGAGAAAAACAGAAAACCCTTCTAGTACTGGAAGTCAGCTCTACGGAGAGAGTGGGAGAGGCAGAGGTCCGACCCAAGTGTCCATGTTCTCCTCCTGGGCTGAATCTGGGTTAGGTAAGCTAGGGGTAGTAGAAACACCCAGATAAATGACGGTGAATTCCAGATGGAAAAGGATTTTCTCCTGTTCTTGGGATGGAACCCAGAAAAACTGCAGACCTTTTAGAGAAGCTCTGATCTTAGCTGGTGCCTGAGAGAACAGAAATGGGTGATGGAGTCTTGGCCAATGGGTCCGAGACACCCCTCAGTACCCCTGGTCTGCATCAACTAGGAATCTGGGGCACCCAGGAGTCCCTGCCTGCCTGTGGGAAATCAGAAGTGCTCAGTAACGGTGGCCAGAAGTCAGCCTGAAAGTGGGAAGATAGGTCATGATCTCACGATGACAGGCCAACTAGGTACTCACAGACAGGATACTCATAGCAGGATACTCAAACAGACAGGAAAGGGTGGACAAACCAATACAGGACCAGATGCAGTGTCCCCACACCACCTGAATGCCAGGATGACAGTTTGACCTCTGAGAACTTAGGCCACTTTGGAAGGAAGGGCAGGAGGAGAGCAAAGGAACCAGAATTCTCTAAACTTAGGCTCTGAGGTAATGAAGGGTATATGGCCCCACGGGAGTGTTTTGGCCAGATAAGACTGAGTTACTCATCGGTGGAAACAGGGGCTGAAGAGCAGGATGATTCAGTCGGAGAACACAGAGTTTCATTTTCTGCTGTAGCATATCATTTCAACTCCAGTCTACTAGCAGGCACAGGATTATTGCCCATTGCCATCCCAGCAAAGGGACAGAAGACAAAGAGGCCTGAATGGGGTGGTGGGTGGTGGCCAATCAGGAGCCTGGAAGGATCCAGGCTTGCTGAGGGGTGGTAGGAAGACACTTACACCCCTGTGTTTTGGGAAAGATGGGGAAGAGATGCTGAATGAAACAAAGGGCAGAAGACAGATGAACACCTAGAGCCACTTCATGCTTTTACAAGGGCCTCTTGGATATGTTTTTAAATCTGCATGTTATTTGTTATTAGCAATCGAAATAATACCTTAATTTGTACTTTTGTTTAGAAAGCATGTCCACATTCATTATTTAATTTGCTTCTCCAAGTTTAGAATCATTCATTCATTTATTCACTCAACCAACCGTTATTAAATATCTTCTCAGTCTCTGGTCTCATAGGAACTCAGTCTAGCGGAGAAGAGACATGGCAATTTCCGGATGATTACAGTGCTATAGTAAAGTAGCAAGATGATACTTGATAAAGTGCCCAAGATGAACCAGGAGAGGGGTCTGCTTACTGTGTGGGAGTTATGGGGGTCAGCTTTACCATTAGGGTTTGAAGGAGGACTAGGATTTTCCTAGGTGGGGGGTGGAGGAGGACATTCCTTGTAGAAGGAAGAGCATTTCCAGTCGAAGCGGCTTGGACAGGTGTGGCTGGTTCAGGCAGGGCAGGAAGTCCAGCGTACTGTGGCCCACAGGATGTGTGCTGGAACAGGGGTTGGGGCGAGAGACGTGGAGGAGGGGCAGGGAGCAGGAGAGGGAGGCAGGGTACTGGAAGCTCTTGCCCGTCTTTGCCTGCTCTGGGTTCACTTGTTCTTTGTCACTATCTCCACCAGGGGGCAGGCAAGGAAAGGCGGCCAGCAACAAAGAGGCTGGCGGGTGCCTTCCAAGGGCTTACTTGTTAGTAAAAATGATCTTAATTGATACTAATGTGGAAAAGTGCTAAGAGGTGGTACATTGGGAACAAATATTAATAGCATCGATTCATAACAGTAATGCTAACACTGCACTTTTATCACTTGAATTGCAATAGTCATGGTAGGTGGAAAAAGAAGTCCTCGCTTCTGGCTTATGAGACCTGAGCCAAATCACTCTGAGCCTCTGTTCTCTTCTGCAAAAACGTTGGCATCCCAGAGAAATTCATGAATGAGAAAACATGTAGGACAGTGCTGAGCACAGGACTGGATAGTGGGTGCTTAGAAAAGACAGGTCACTGAATCTGCATATTTACCATGAAAAACAATAAACACCTTAATTTGTACTTTTGTTAACAAAACACTCCACATGCTTTATTTGATTTTTCTACTTTTCCTGTGAGACAACTGATCCAACAGGTAGGAATGATTGGTAAAATGAGATTTGGGGTTAAACCCAGGAAGTTGAATGTGAGTTGGAGCATTATTGTCAAATCAAAGTACTTATTAGTTGATTATCTAGTTTGTGGAGAGAGGTTTTCCCCTTCATCTGTACACCTCAATTCCTGTTTTCTCTTATTACTATTATAAGGGTCAGAGTCTTCCTTATAAAGAGGACTTCACAATGAAAATGATAGAAATTGAGTCAAGTTGGCTCCTTTTTGTTGAGTTTTGAGAGAACTGGAATAGGAAAAACATTAAAAAATATATGTTTTTGAATACTTCCTGACAAAAATCTATAGTTTTAAAATTCAAAACAAATAAATTACAGTGAAATAAATCACAGTAAGTTAGGACCTCTGTGGCACCTTTTTAAGAAAAAGAAATAGGACACTTAGCTTGAAGATGAGATTCCCAGGGTTATGACAGCTGTCATTTACTATTTGTGTGCAAACCAAGCAGAAAAGGATTTAGATCGGTTCTGCACACCAACTGGCACCAAGGGGGGCTGGTGGGTAAAAGCCACTTGAGACTTTGGCTCAGTGTAAGACAGAGGTGGTAGTAAGAGCCGGTTAAAGATTCAATAGTAGTAATGGGTCCCCCATGCCGGAGGGGTTCACCAGTGGCTGCCACTCAGCAGGACTGTGAGAGAGAGGATTCATGTATCTGATGGATGATTACACAGGTGATTTGTACAGTTTCTTCTGATCTGGTTATCCCTTGCTCCATTTGAGATAATATTTTCTAGTAACTTCTAATACATTTTTATAGATAGATCATAGCAGGAGACGGAGTGTATGACATGATTTGTATCAGAAACTCAATGTTAGATCATTTTAGTTAGGCTCCTAAAGATTATTTAGAAAAAGTATTAAAACTGGGATCCCTGGGTGGCGCAGCGGTTTAGCGCCTGCCTTTGGCCCAGGGCACGATCCTGGAGACCCGGGATCAAATCCCACGTCGGGCTCCCGGTGCATGGAGCCTGCTTCTCCCTCTGCCTGTGTCTCTGCCTCTCTCTCTCTCTGTGTGACTATCATAAATAAATAAAAATTAAAAAAAGAAAAAGTATTGAAACTATTTTCTTCCATGGGAATGAGTCTATTTAGTGGCACTAGCTCTTTGCTTCTGCTGCTTCTAGTCTTCCCACTGAGGCTACGTCCATGTATACGCTCAAGCCAGACAGAAAGTCTTGGGAACCAATTCATTCTAAGCTGGACGCCCAAGAGATATAAGGAATCTCATCAATAGCAGACGGGGTTCAGTACTGAGACAACTTTGGTCCAGCCTTTCCCTGACCTGGAGCCCATTTCTCATAACTGGGTCCCGCTTGGTAGCCCCAGGCCAGCAAACAAGTCTGTAAAAGATGTTACCAGATGTCTGCACTGCCCAGCCTGACCTCATTCTCCCTACCCACAAGTGATCAGACCAAGGATGGGCAGGAGGACCAGTCCACTGTGGCCTGGTGTGCAGAGCCTAGTGGCAACAATGACATCACTCTCCCAAGAGTTTGGTAGTCTGACCTATGAACTTAGGGACTATATACAAGATGAGTAGGCAGGGATGCTAGAAAAAAAGGAGTGGGAAGAGAGAGAGGCATGAAGGGACTCTGAGATGACAGGGACTACATGGCTCACGAGAGAAAGAGTGCATCCTTGATATCTGATGAGTTTTCTACTCCACTGAGGCCTGGATGAAATAGAAATCATAATTGCAAAGGTACCATAATTATCCTGGTTTAACAGATGAAAACCAAACCAAACCAAACCAAACCCTGGACTACATCAAAATAAAAGCTTCTACATAGCAAAGGAAATAATCAATGAGACTAAAAGAAAAAAGCCTAATAAATGGGAGAAGATATTTGTTAATAACCTATCCAATAAAGAGTTAGTATCCAAATATATAAAGAACTTATACAACACAACACCCAAAAAACAAATAATCCAGTTAAAAAATGGGCGGAAGACATGAACAGACATTTCTCCAAAGACCTACAGATGGCTAACAGACACATGAAAAGATGCTCAACATCACTCATCATTAGGGAAATGCAAATCAAAACCACAATAAAACATCACTTCACCCCTGTCAGAATGACTAAAATCAACAACACAAGAAACAACAGGTGTTGGTGAGGATGTGGAGGGAACTGTACTGTTGGTGGGAATGCAAACTGTGGAAAATAGTATGGAGGTTCCTAAAAAAATTAAAAGTAGAATTACAATATGATCCAGCAATTCCACTACTGGGTATTTACCCAAAGAATATGAAAACACTAACTCGAAAATATATATGCACCTCTATATTTATTGCAGCATTACTTACAATAGCCAAGATACGGAAGCAATTCTAGTGTCCATCGATAAATGAATGGATAAAGAAAAATTGGTATATATACACAATGGAATATTAGCCATAAAAATAATGAAATCTTGCCATTTGCAACAACATGGATGGACCTAGAGGGTATAAGGTTAAGTGCAATAAAGCAGTCAGAGAAAGACAAATACCATATGATTTCACTCATATATGGAATTTAAGAAACAAAACAAATGAGCAACGGAAAAAAAAGGACAGAAAGACAAGCTACGAAACAGACTGTTAATTATAGAGAACAAATTAGTGGTTACCAAAGGGGTGGGGGGAGATGAGTGAGATAGGTGAAGGGGATTAAGAGTACTTAATCACTTATTGTGATGAACACAGCAATATAGGGAACTGCTGAATCACTATATTGTAGATCTGAAACTAATATAACAGTGTATGTTAACTATACTGGAATTAAAATAATAATAAAAGAAACTCTGAAATTCAAGGAGTGTAAGTGACTTGTTCAAGGTCATGCAGTTAGTAAGGAAATAGACTGTGTTTCATTTCCTTAAGTGATCCATATTCCCATAACTCACAAGCTACTGCCCACCCAGAGACCTGGATCTGGTTCCCTCTCTGGCTCTTACAGTCTTCCTGGGACTGGTGTCCTGGCCCTGAGTTTAAGCCCTATATCTGAGCCTTGTTTCAATTTGCAGCCACTGATCACTGTCTTCTGCCTTCCAGGCCTCATGGAGCTCTGCTCAAACTATGGGGTACCTTCTGGAATCAACATACCTTTCCAGAGTGCCTACCATGTGCAGAGGGCATGTAAGCAGTGGGGCCTCCCTGTTGCTGTTCACTTCTACCCCCAAGCCCTTAGGACCCTGAAACAATCCATTGGCCCTACTCTCTCCCATTGCTCACCATTGGGTTCACCCCCTCCAAGCTTGCAACCCAGGGGGCCTGTCACTATCCAGGTCCTAGCATTTCTGCATGGAAGTGCAAACAAGGGGCTAGGGAGGATGCTTTATGAGATGGCCTTTCTGTCTGGCTTCAAAGAGATCCCATTAGCATACTGAAAGGACTAGTTAGGATGAGTGAGGATAGTCTAAACTCAGCCCTGGGTAAGCCCTCAGATCTTTACCACTCTGAAAGTACTGTTTAACAAGGTGGACGAGTTGAGTTGGGAAAAGGAGATGTCAAAGCATTTTGTTGATAGAAAAACAGACTAAATAAGCCATCTTAGCTGGTGATTAAAAAGGCTGATGTGTGTCTCTACTCTACTTGCTGTGGTCACACACATAGAACTGAAAAGGAGTTTTTAGCTTGACCATAGACTACAATGATCTCTGTGACTCTTGACCTTTTTCATCTAGGACAAACTAGGAGGAAGTATTTTTCTAGTTTCAAATCAAGAGCTTAGTCTTTCCAAAGTCGGCTTATGGCTTTGTGATTCTGATTCCTTTTCACAGATGTCCTAGAAAGGTTTTCAGGTAGTTCATCTGTGATAGGGTTACACAGAAAAGCCATTCCTTTTTTTTTTTTAAAGATTTATTCATTCATTCATTCATTTATTCATTCATTCATTCATGATAGACATAGAGAGAGAGAGGCAGAGACACAGGCAGAGGGAGAAGCAGGCTCCATGCCCGGAGCCCAATGTGGGACTCGATCCTGGGACTCCAGGATTGCGCCCTGGGCCAGAGGCAGACACTAAACCGCTGAGCCACCCAGGGATTCCCCAGAAAAGCCATTCCTGGGGAATGTTCAGATTCCCTGTAGCTCAGAGCAAAAGTCAGCTGAAGAACACCAATGCAACTTCATTAACATCCTGTCACACTATGCCAGAAAAAGTCAGGACCCCATAGAACAGCAAGGAAAAATAATAAATAAGATTTATCTAAAAGCATTAAAAAATCAAGAAATGAAATCTGGCATACATCCTTGTCTTTATTTATTTCATATTTTTTTAAAAAAATAAATTTTATAAATTCAAGACTTTTCTGACAGTGACTCCACGTGTCAGCTGAGATTTCAGAATTAAACACTGGTTTCCAAATGCCCTGCTGATGCTACTACGCATTGGCCATTTTAATGGAAACTATGAATTATACTTTTTTTTTTTTTTACCTCCTCATAACTTGTGACAAAGTTAGATGGGACTACTATCACTGCCATATTTATGACACTGCTTGTTTTCTAGGAGGGAGTAAAATATGCAGAGTTTATACTTTTTTTTCCCTGCAGAGTTTAGAGTTTAAAAGAAGACAGAATTTGGGCTAGTCTGACCTGGCCAGACAACCTTTCAATATCAGCTCACGGCAGGTAATAAAAAGATTATGGCTCGAGAGTAGTTAGTGGGGTTCATGTATCCTCTAAAAAGGAAAAATTCCATTTCCTTTTTTCTTCCAAAGCTATTTTTATTTTATAAAACACTCTTTTCCTGAATAACAATCTTTTCAGAGCTGAACTCAATTCCAAACAATTGCATGAGGTGCAGTCTTCAGATGGCATGTCACTTGCTCCCTGATCCAAGGAAGGGATCCTCCCACTGCTGGACTAGGTCATCTACTTTGACCAGGTCATGCTCATTGTGAGGAATAAAAGCAGCTGTAGGGGTTGTGGCCACTATGGCACTGTTGGCTCACTCTTTAATTTCTTGGCTTCAGCATCGTCGTATAACTCAATCTAGATTTGAGTGGCCACAATCCATGCACTATTTGAAATATAATCTCTTACATCAACTTGTTTTTTTTTTATGAATAGTACTTAGGCATATGGCTAATACAATTTATTTCACAAATAGATTTGTCAAAGTGCTAGAAATTATTTCAGAAAGATGTGCAGATAGAAAGGCCTGATAATCTTAACAATCTTTCATTTCTAAATTCATGGTGGTACCCTCAATAATGGCCTCCAAATCAAGCTCCTGCAATCTGGGATGCCTGCATGGCTCAGTGGTTGAGCCTCTGCCTTCAGCTCAGGGCATATTCTTGGGGTCCTGGGATTGAGTGTCCTCCCCTCATTGGGCTCCCAGCAGGGAGCTTAATGCTCCCTCTGCCTATGTTGCTGCCTCTCCCTCTGTGTCTCTCATGAATAAATAAATACAATCTTAAAAAAAAACCCTCCTGCAATCTAAAAATTACTAATTCTGCTTACTAACTTTGGCAAGATGAAACCAAAGTTAAAAGTCTGATTCAGAATCAATCAACAGTTTCAAAATAAGAAGGACCTGCAAGAAAATATTAAATTCCTGTCCTCAGATGTCAATTCTGGCAGGTATGGTAGTACAACTTTTTCTGAAAGCTTGCTTTCCCAAGAGTATTCCTGGAGCCATCTAAATCTAAGAATATCTTTAAAAATCTTAAAAATTTAATCTCACATTCATAGCAGTATCTAATATATACATGTGCAGTGCTTAAGAAACACTGATTGAGTATTGGATAAAACGGTTATTAAAAAAGGGGGATCTGGAAGAGATTGTCAGGATCATCCTGCCCAGTCTCCTAATTTTCAGATGAAGGACAAATCCAGAGAGGCTGATTCACATGTTCCAAACCACACAGCTAGTTATTAGCAGAGCTGGATCTAGAACTCAGGACTCCTGACCTCAAACTCACTGTATCCAAAGGCCCTTTCCCTCCTTAGGTTCCTATGCAATTGGACTTCTAAAGACTGATGAAACCTGGGGCCAAGAGCTCAGACGAATCCTCCCTACGTGAACATATAGGCATGTATTACATTACACATCAGGTTATATTACTGGCAATCTGCCTGCGTGTCATACATTGGTAAGAAATCAGCTTGATTTCTCCCAAGAAAAGTACCTTTAAAGTGATATTATTTTAATCTGAAATGTTTTGTTAAAAACAAATTAATTAGTGCAGAAATCATCCTATATAAGAAAAGCTAATTATAATGCCTTAGATTTGGATGGCTCTTTACCATTCATAAAGTGTGACCTATATTACCAGGTGGTTCTGTGCCTTTAAGTATCAATTGATTTGCTGGGTGTTGTTAGCTTGCTGTTAGTAAATTAAGTCTCACAGTAGTGTTCTGATTGTAAGAAATGAAGGGGTGGAACCTACTAATGATTTCCAGTTGACTAATGCACTCCTCTTTGGCGTGGTGGAAGAAGAAGCAGGGTAAGAGATAAAGCAGCTTATCAGTGGAGGGACTGGGCAGGAGCAAGGCTACCTGACTCACATCTATTTACCTATGTCCCAGGCTAGCCCACTCTCACGACATCACTGCAGCCATAATTTATTTAACAGGAGGCGGCCAAGTATGTACTTGACTTCCAACACTCAACACCGAAGGTTCAAAAACAGTAAATGGTGAAGTCAGCTCGATATCACAGGCTTTCTTTCAGGTGAGCCCAAAGCGAAGACCAGGAGAAACCCTAATCTAGGATTAGCTTCATCACGGAGGCAAAAAGGGTTGGAAGATGCCCTCCCTGCCCCACCGCTCATGCTTGTAGACATTACCTGCCTTGGCTGGTTGACTTTTGCTCCTGAAGACAACAATAATCGAATAACATCCAAATAACCACCTTGGGCAGCTAGGAAGAGTGCAGTGGCTCCATCCTGAGAGGTGTCACAATGAAAGTATTCAAATAATCTGTCACGTTTATTTTAAAAGACATTCGATAAAAGTACATACATTTTACTACAACTTTCCATTTCTGTCCCCTGCTCTGTTTTCATATTAATGGTTAGTGTTTTATTCTTTGAAGAATAGTTCTAACATATCACAGTAAGTCTGGTGGAAAGGTAAAGTTTCAAAGAGTCTTATCAGGTTAAGTTATAACAAATGTAATGACCATTCATTCTACAACATCTTGATCATGGACCATTCATTCTACAACATCTTGATCTACAACTCATGATCCACCCACTTGGCAGGAGCATCGAGGCTGTCCAAATAGCCAGTCATCATTTTTCTCTTGTCTACACAGACTTCTCGTTACTTGCGATCTCTGCTTTCATTATGTGATCTCAGGGTTTATTCCCCTTTTTCATTAGTTTCAAAAATATGTACATGTAATAGTTTCCCACTTCAAGTCTTTTGTCAATTAAGGGTTAAGTGTTAGTTTAAAAACAAACACAAAATCAAGTCTATAAATAAAAAACAACGAACAAGTCCTCAAAACATATTTGGTATGTTTTTATGAATCAGAAATAAAAGTGTCCTTTTAATTAAATTTTTCCTACCCCTTTCTCTTTCTTGCCCCTTTATCCACATGCAGTTTTTCCAAGATTTGAAACAAAATATGCTTTCAGAAAAACTGTCCTGGTGAGACTGTCCATGAACTTGCTCCCTGACAGCCCGGCAGATATCAACACCACTTGTAGACAACTAAGAAATCCTGCATAAAAGCTCAAAGCAAGTGTTTGCCTGCGGTTTTCTTTAGTGGCTTTTTGTTTTATTTTGTTTTGTTTTTCATTTTTTGCTGAGTGTCTATGTCTTGTGAACATTTCTTCTTTCTTATAGACATGTCATTGGTAATGTCAACAAATACAGCAGTCAGTTCAGAAGCATGCATCCTCCCCAGATGCTCACTTCACATAGATAGCATTCATAGAACGTGGTGAACTTCATTATTTTTAGACTGCTGTGAAAAACCCAAGCACATCCTAGTGGAAAACACCTAGCTAAACCAGTTAATTACCATCTCTCCCATCAGAAATGTTAACCACAAGTTAAAATACAAAGCTCTTTTCCCTGCAAGTCCAACCAGTAGAGGGTGCTGGATTTCTAGTGCGTGACAGGTGAGCTGCCAGACTTCTCCTAAGGCAATCATTAAAAAATTACTCAGCCTGTATAGATTTTTAAGCAGATGTTTGATATGGGGATAAAATGTTCAGCTGCTCCTTACTGTGTTGCCATAGAAAATCCACTGCGCTTTTAGCAGCTGTGAACTCTTGGAAATGTTCTCAAATGGATATCTAAGCATTGCGTTCTCAGTGCACATTACAAATTTCTGTTCTTAGAAGCCTTCAGGAGTCATTGACTGGGGATCCTCCATGTTTCAGTTGTCTTTAATGGAAACATTTACATTTGGACTGTTTGGGTAAGGGTAAAAGTCTTAACATAAAATGGAAATTTCAGTGCACGAGATTTCTTGAGCCACTTAATAACAGAGAGGAATTTACTACAGGAATGGGCTCTCCCCAAACCCTACATTTCTAAGATTCCATGCCACTCTAGTGAGCCTTCTAGAAGAATGTTATCTAACAGTACAAATTTGCCAGTCAATTTGCATTGCTATTAACGATAACAGTCATTTTCAGATGAAAATCACAACTCACTTTCTTTTTCCGAAGACGAGGGCTCTTCAGATTCAATCACGTATATACACACACATCTGCTCATTCATGCTCTCAGATATACTTCATTATAGACAGCTGGAGAAATAGCCAAAGCTGTAGACCTATGTTTTTTAGACTTGGCTACACATCAGAACCATCTGTGGCCCGGCTGTGCCCTCAGAGATTCTGGCTTAATCTGGAGGAGGCCTGGAAGTCTTTTTTTTTTTTTTTTTTTTAAGTTCCCCATGTGATTCTAATGGTAGCCAGAGCTGAGAATCACTCCTTCAGACCTGTGTCAAGTAATTCAGTCATTCAAATGTGAAAGCCATGGGTTCAAAGGGTGTTACAGATTTTGAAGTGCAAAAGGGGTAATGCTAGTTGCTAGGTATGATTTGTCCATTAATCGTGTAACCTCAAGAAAGGGTGTTCACATGGAAAAGTTCACATCTACACATCTCACTACACATCTATGAAAGTATAGTGCCATAGGACTGAATGTCTGGTGGTAGGATAGCCTAAAATATGATTCCTAGGTAACTGGCAGTAGGAATCCTTCCACTCCTCATTAGGAGACTCTATCAAAAAAAAAAAAAAAAAAAAAGAGAGAGAGACTCTATCAAGTCACTTCATCTCCTCATATGTATGTATTTTTTTTTTTTTAGTTCTGTTCAAAACCAGAACTAAATCTTCCATAAGTCCTATGGAATTATAGTGACAATGGGTAATGTGCTAATTGTCCATTAGCTGTAACAGACCCACAATAGCCTTTTGAAGGTCAATGGTGTGCATGTACTTCATAGTTGTTCACACACCCAACCTCACTTCTCTTCCAAATAACTTGATTTTTCCTTTGTTTGTGCTCTTCCTCCTAGATAACTCTATACCAGGAGCGTTTTTTATTTTTTCCCAGCAAGTCCATTTTCTATGCTTGTTATGAGTATGTGTCACATGATTTTTGATGATTCTAACTGCATAAGTTATATGAAATATCTCATATGTACAAGACACTTAAAAAGTAGAACAAAGATGGGTAAAGAAGATTATGTATTTCTTCATAGAAAAAGCTCATCTGATTAACTTTTTTTCTTTGATGTCTCAGATTAAAGTCCTACTGTTCATTAAAATATTTTTGAAATTGCCATTTCCGGCATCTGAATTTAGACTGCAATGCTATGTGTGTGTGATGAGAGGATAGGTAAGGGTCCATCTAACGTCCTCTTGAAAATGCACTCACATAAAGCTGGTCGTGGATATTGGCTCCATGTTTCAGAAGGGTCTCCACCACCTGCATATGCCCATACTGACTGGCAGCCAAGAGGGCTGTGCCCCCATCCTGCAAAATATAAACACATTAGAAAGAGTGCAGACACATATTTACCAAGCAGATGCTTTTCACACAGGGAAAGCTTTGGAGAAGATTTTTTCCCATAGATAACAACAAACTCACTTTCCTTTTTCATCTCTTTTTCTTTATAATCATAGCATGGTTCATCCTAAAGACGTTGTGCTGTACACGTGGATGACTTGCTTGGGATAGATTCCAGTTTACTGGACTATGTTATTATGAGTAATTCCCCAAGTCAAATGCAGAATTGTTTCTTTGTATCTCAGTAAAGGAAACAAAGAATAGAAAGTCTGTACCAATCAGTTCTGTCTTGGAATTACCCAAATAGTCTCCTGTGTCTTCTGGCTAGAGACCCACTGGACAAACGTTGGCTTCTCTCTGTGGTTCCCTCCAGCTGTGGGTCTCTGAGATTAAGGAGATTTATGAAGTAACCCCCTGGGGCTATTGTCTTCAAGTGTCAAGGTATGCATCCATTAAGAGTAGATAACTACAGCATATCCTGTGTACTACCTCTCACCATCCTGCTTAGCATTTTCCTTTGAACATGTGCCAGTTTGTCCAGATCTCTTTTAAAATGTGGGCCCTAGAATTAATCAGAGCACCAAAAAGTAGATGTGGTCTGATATGGAATGGAACATTCCATTGTTCCATCTACTCTACTTTTATCTAGACAGCCTAAGTTAGAATTAGCTTTTATGTCAACCACATCACACTTATGACTCACTGAGTTTGTGGTCAATTGAAACCCTTGATGGTTTTTCTCAGGTGCTGCAGCCAAGGCATTATCTTTTCCCATCTATAATTGCGGAGCTGTTTGTTTGGCTCTGTGAATTGGTATGTGGACATCTGCGCTAATTGTAAATAATGCATCCACATGTCATCTGGCTCTGAAATACAAATCATAACTATAAGTTAATGTGGTTTCTAAATTTGGGCAGAGTGTTTATCCAAAATGCCTGCCCTCCAACTCCCACCCCTACAGGGTCTGATTCTGGTGAGGCCCAGAAAATGGCTTTCTGACCAGTCACATGAGGGCACTGTGGTATGAAGGAAACAGGTGGGCCTCACTTGAGAAACGCTGTCCTAAGAGCTCCCTTGTTCACAGGCTGTGGGGGTGTGTGTGGGAGGGGGTGGGGAGAGGGCATTTGAGCTGTGATTTGAAGGGTAGAGACTGGAGGGCTGCGGCCAGTGGTGGGGGCAGGTGTATGCTGGGGGAGGGGGTAAGTGGGCAACAAGAAATTGAATAGCAGCAATGAACCACAGTTCCAACTTTTGTTCTGTCCATTTTCTCTTTGCCTAATGAGATGGAAGAATAAAATACCTTAGAGCTGGTACCTTTGGTTTTTATTGTTTTCTTTCTTTCTTAAGTAGGCTCCATACCCAGACACTTAACTGACTGATCCATCCAGGTGCCCCTGTACCATTTATTTATTTGTTTATTTTTAAAGAGTTTATTTATTTATTTGAGAAAGAGAGAGAGAGAGCACAAACAGGGTGGTGAGAGGGCAGGCTCTCCTCTGAGCATGGAGCCCCACGCAGGGCTCCATTCCAGAACCCTGAGATCAGGACCTGAGTTGATGGCAGAAGCTTAACCGACTGAGCTACCAAGATGCCTCTGTACCTTTTACTTTTAAACACACATTTTGGGGGATATCGCTTTAATAATGATGAGAACAACTGTTGAAACAAAAGCAGTTTTGATGACACGATCATATGAAAACTCAACGCTTCTCGACACTCTCTTCTTTGCATGGAAAGTTCTTGGGCACCTGCAGCTGATCTAATGGAAACATCTGGAATTGTGCTCTGGGCCCCATGTTCCATAGATTTCTGGGACAGCACAAACTGGCTCATGGACAAAGGCTTTGAGCCAGTATTCACTGTTAACCAAGAAGACTGAAGCAGCCACATGGTGGTGCATGATCATTCTGACTTAGTTCATAGAGTTGAGATTTACATTTGTAGGACTTTACTTTCCAATTTTAGTTGTATTACTTTCATAATGAAAAATAAAATGAGAATTAATATAAAAATATACACATATATTTTTGCATGTAAAGTACTGTATATTATATTCAGCATGTTTAAAGGCATGTGTACAGTCTAATAACAGGTTCAAAACAGACCAATCCTATCTGAAATTCAGATCTACTTAATAGTCAACATCTTAACAGGAAAAAAAAAAACCACTGGAAACTCCCCTGATATCAAAATATCACATACAATGGATTAAGAAAGCCTAAAAGATTCCAAGAAAGGCAAATTTCCAAGAATTTTTTGGTTATGATTAGGCTGGAAATAAGTTGACAATTACAAAAATGTTAGAGCAGTTCAAATTCTCCTACTATAAACCGTTATCATGTAAAATGATATTGTGAACACAAAATTGATCTTTCTGCAACCTCAGTTTTCTTATCTGTATCTCCAACATGAAGAATCAATGACTATTTTAAAGGAAGAACCTCAATTCCTTGCCCAACTATATAAACTGTAATCATGTATTATGTATTTCAGTGAGGACATCTCAGAAAGTAAACTGCCACAGTTTACTTCTTAGAAATCTCTCAGATTCACTAATACTTTGACAGTTCTTATCAGAACACTGAGATTAACAGGGAGCTGTAAAGCACCTGGTATTGTATCTATTCTGTTAACAAAATTTAGTGTCTCAAAGTAGGAAGCTACCAGTGAAAGACAGAATCTAAATAATTCCCCATAAAATTATGAGCCCAGGGTAAAAATATAATTTTTTGAATTGAATTCTTAGTACTACCTCTGAACCATTACAAGTAACTTTGTGAAACCCACTGTCTTAGGCTTGAAAATTTTGTAAAAAGAGAAGCACAAATTCATATCATAGATGGGAGAGACATGAATATTCATGACGGCCAAAATTCTTCAAGAAGGTATGAAATCAATAAAGTTCTCTTACTTTGGTCCTAAATTCAGTGGATGCTCCAAATTCAAAGAGAAATCTGACGACGTCATTATGTCCTTGCTGGGCAGCAAAGAACAGGGCAGTTGGACCTGACTAGAAGAGAACAAGCAGCTGATTTTAAGACATGTAGTTACACTGCATTTGATTTATACATTTGCAAACAAAACAATTATTTTTATATGTAAGCCTTATAACCTATATTTGAACTGATTATTTTCCTTGTTCAGAGAAGTGAGAAGATGAAAGGAGAACTTTATTGTTGGTGAAATGTGATGAATGGTGGGCCCAAAAGATATGGCCCTGTCCAAATTTTTGGAACTTGTGAATGTTACCTTCTGTGGCATATGATGTGATTAAGTTAAGGATTTTGAGAAGAGGCACTTATTTTGGCTCATCCTGCTGGGCCATAAATCCAGTGACAACTGTCTTTATAACAGCGAGGCAGAGACATATTTGACACGGAGGAGAGGAGGAAGCAATGTGGTCATGGAGGTGACCTCATTGACATGAGGGGAATGTGGCCACATGTCAAGGAATGCCCACAGCTTCCAGAAGCTGGAAGAGGTGAAGAATGGTTTCTCCTCTGCAGTCTCCAGAGGGGGTGCAGCTCTGTGGATACATCTGGAATTTTCTGGCCTCCAGAATCCTAAAATTTCTGTTCTTTGCAGCCACCTAGTTGGTGGTAATTGGTTATAGTGGCCACAGGGACTACCATGCTTGGTTACATGGGCATTCATTCATACAGGGAAGACTTCCCGTAGAGTTCTGGTTACAGAGTTAAGCAGAAAGTAGAAAGTGACCAGCACAAGAAAGGATCTAAGTAGTTCACTCAAATGGACTCAAATAGTTCTGATTTCAAATTTTAAAGTGATCAGTGGTACTGAGACACTAGCATCCTCTCTTCCCAGCCATTTTTATAGGCCTACTCAAAGAGTGGTAGCCAAATCGTTGTGTGATATGAGCAAAATCATCATACTGCTCTTGGGGGCAATATATATTTTTCACATAAAGATGCTCTTCAGTGCTTTGAGCAGGGATGAAGCTAACATTACATTTTCCCAGGCACAATGAGGAGAAAAACCTCCTTCCATGGCTCACCCAGAAGTATTAAAGTGGTAGGTTCTCACCCAGGTGGGAGAAGCCAGGAGGAGCATGCCCTAAGGGTTACTGATCACTCTGAAGCTTGTTCTTAAGTGAGTGTGTACATGTATGTGCATGTGTGCATGTGCACATGACAGAGAACAAGGAACCCAATCACTGTGGCAGAACACAAGCCAATACCTTCCCAGTTGTGACCTTCTATCTCAGGCTATGCTCTCAACCAGACATTGCCCTGGGAGGCACAGGTAATATGATTGTTCCCAGAGCCTTTCTGCCTCAATGCAGGAGTGATTTTCTCCTTGGTTCCTACAGAAACAAGTGGGAAGCGTCTTCTCATTGTTTTCCTACAGTGGAGGACACTGACTTCCAGAAACCTGATGATGTAACTAGGTCTGGATGAAGAAACTGGGCTAGCACAGGAAAATTCTCACCTTCTTAATAGACATTAAATTTTAGACACTACCAGAGATAATTTATAGAAATTGTTCCTTCACTAAGAACAAGGATTTTTCACTAAGATTTTTCTGATATATTAAAACATCATATCTATAGCAGTTTGAGTCCATTTTGGACATACGTGTACTATTAATTATTATGCACATGAAAGTAGCAATCTGTAGACAATACAAGCCAGACTTGAGTGAATGAAGATCTTAAATGCATGTGCTTTACTACTGCAACTCAGTGCTTAATAACAACAGCATATACAGCTCATATCCCTGAGAGTTTTAGCCAATATTGCTGGTTCTTTAGAGCAATGGTCTCTCTGGATCATTAGCTTCCTGTTCTAACAAGTTCTGTATACCTAGATAGCCATCCTAAGAAAACAACAATAAGTACTTTTTCAAGAAACAAGTATTTTGACATGGATTAAATGGAAAAATGAACCAAGTTAATAATAATAATAAAAAGAATGAACCAAGGTAGAAGCCTGCTATATGAGTAACTTCCATAGCACTCCATAATAACTCTTTGCTTACAATACAGATGAGGTAAGGCTGGGGACTCTCTTTGGCAGCAATATCACCGGAGGCTGGTGTGGCCTCTGGAAATTTAGGGGATCACTGGGAACTCACATAGCATCATCATTTGAGCCACAAGGTTACCTCTAAATTGGGCACACTTTGGTTAAGTCCTAGAGGGCCATTTTGTTTAATGCACCACAGGTTTCACATCCAAGAATATTAGTTGAGCAATTGGAACAAAAAAGATAAATATAAAACCATAAAAAAAACCATACATTGGCTGGAAAGCAAACAAATGTTTCTCTTCTCTTAGCTCTTCACAGTTGTTCTGAAGATATTTTCATGTGTGTGGAACTTGCCCCTCAGGATAAAGTTTTCTGAGTAAGCAGATCTGAATCATATTGTTTTCATTACAGAAAATCTGTCTCTTCTTTAAAGTTATACTAAACCAAGACTGGAAAGCATAAAGGAAAAACAAAAAGATTAGGGTAATTTCAAACTATAATTCTAAATGGGCCCATTTTCTTCCCAGAAGAAAATTAGCTGCTGACGTGAAAAATAGCCTAAAACAATGGTCCAGTGTTGTGAAAATTGCTCAGAAGACTCTGTCTGTGAGACTGACTGGATTTGCTATAGCCTTTCTGTATGGCTCCTCTTGATAGATCAGGCTTGCTGGTCTAGGGCTACAGAGAACCAGACTCCAGATTCTATCCATCAAGTGTCATTCTTCCATGTCTACAGGCAAGGAGACACCTCAAGGGGAGAGATTTTAGATGCCTCATGGAATATCTAGTCCTCATACATGCAGCGTCTTAAGTTGCTTCACTCATGGGTAGCAGGCCAGCCTGGAAGATGGGGCATGCTGACTGATGAAAATTTGGTTGATGAATCATCTTTTCTGAAACAACTGTAGAGCAGGCCCTCAAATAAGAGTGGATCAAGGAAAATCAAGTGCTCCAGTCTGATTTGGAGCTTGCCCCAGGGTGTCATCTTGGGTCTGAGTCCGTGTGGACTGAGGGGTAAAATTCACTTTAGGGATGACCTGAGGCTATGGCTGTGTCTCAATAAAGGTTAATTTACAAGGCTCTAGATCAGCTCAGAGATAAATGGATCCCCCTCAGATCTGCTCCCAAAGTACGTGAAAAGGCCCAGCCTCCCATCACTCTTATACGTTGGACCAAGAATAGATCCTTTAGCCAGACTGAACTTCCAAGATGGCCCTTGAATGAAGTGTGGGAACAGGCTCACATTTTAGTCCAATGTTGACCACATGGCTTTTTGGGGGACAGCTTATTCAATATGTGGCCAGTCAGAGAAGCCCTGTGAACTCATGGTTTGATGAGGATGGCTGAGATAATCTAGCAAGTCAGCCTAATTAAGAACAGGTTGGTGACCCAATCCTTCTAAAAATATAATGATCTGTATGAAAATCCTAAAACTTCTATAGCACCTCATCCCAATGGAAGAAGGAAGAACTGATTTAAGATTGAGAGGAAATGTATGAGTAGTTAGGGAATGTGCTTAGGGAATGTGTTACTTCAGATTACAACACATGCTGGAGAACAACACTCAACCGAAGTACAACCAATGGTCCATTCCTGGGCCTTATTTTAGGCACAGGAAAGTCTGAAATCTAGGCTTCAATGCCATGTAGGAAAAAAGCAATGATTACTCTTGTCTTCCTTACCAAATCACAACTGTAAAAATTTTGAGTCTCTGTCACCTGGGTCATTCTTATTCAAGCATAAACCTGACCTACCTCTCTCTGGAGATTGATGTCTGCTCCTTGCAGAACCAGTTCCCTCACACAGTCTATGTGACCGGCATAGGAAGCGACCATGAGAAGCGTGGTGCCATGCTAGTTGGAGGACAGAGAGATCGGTTAGGCCATCATATGTCAGAGACCGTTCTGGAGAAGAGGCTGTGGAGATGTCAGCTCCACTTGGGACATGTCCAAGTACAAAATTTCCCACAGTAATAAAAGTGTCTCATGAATAATCTTATAATGCCGAGTAAACAGGGAAAAGCAAAGCAACAAAATTGCTGAGGGTGGAATTTTCAATTTAAAAACTCACTTCATTCCATTATCTTCAGAAATGCAGTCCAAATGAACCATAATTATTGCATTTTAAGGCAGTTGGGATGTAATGGTCTCATTTTATGGTTCATATTAAATGGTTCCTGAGCCAAAACAGTTATTAATGTAAAAATGGGTTAAGTGGTACCAGTTGGTTTTCTCAGTTTAGAAGTCTCTATTTTAAAACTGATTCAGGTAAATATTAAAGGTACCTCAATGAAATAGGAGATTCCAGTAGTTAGTCAGGAACCCTGGGGTTCGTCTGCCTCTGTCATCAATCAACAGTATAATCTGGGAAGGTTGCTTATAATTCCTGGGGTTTATAGTTTAATTTACAGTTATTTGTGAGGGCTTGGAATTGTGATCTTGACCACTACCTCTGCATATGCAGCAACCTGCCTTTCTGGGGTGGACAAGAGAGAGAAGATGGTTCTGCACAGGAGGAAGGCTTGCAAGGTATAGGGTGATAAGTGACTCTCACAAGTCTTGCTTTAATTTCATCAGTGGGATTTTGTAGGAAAGCAGTAAAGTTGAGTGGTCACTGACACTATGATCTTGGGCTAGTTATGGAAACTTTCCAAGGCTCACCCTCCTCCTTATCTGTAAAATAGGGATAATAAAAGCATCTGCTGGATTAAGTTAAATGAGTAAACAAGATAACACAGGCAATGTGCTTAGCATAGTAATGTTAGACATTTTTAAAAAAGATTTTATTTATTTATTCAGGAGAGACATAGAAGGAGAGGCAGAGACAAAGGCAGAGGGATAAGCAGGGTCCTTGCAGGGAGCCCGATGTAGGACTTGATCCCTGGACACCGGGATCATGACCTGAGCCAAAAGCAAACGTTCAACCACTGAGCAACCCAGGCATGGAGGTGCGCCAGTAATGTTAGATATTAATTCAGTAAGTGCTAGGTATTGAAATGTTATGGTATTTCAGTAAATGTTATCATCTGGCTTTTGTTGATTTCTGTGAATCTCAATACTAATTTTGGGAAAGTCTTGTTTGCTATGTATGAAAAGTACAGGTAGAGTAAAAAAAAAAGCTAATGGCTTCATAGAAATGTTCTATGATATTTTTTCTACTTACATGTGATTGTATTTGGTAGTTGAATAGACATTTGTGTAGGCTATACCATTCATGATTAAGTTGAACACCTTTTTCTGTATTTCCCAGGATTAGAATGGCATGTGGAAGTTGGTATTACTGTTTTCCTCATGAATGTGAACAATATTTAGATTGCAGAAAGAAGGATCTTTTCTGGAGGACTGCTGAGAAGATGGCAAAGTAGGAAGACCCTAAGCTCACCTTGTCTGAAAGATACAAAGGGAGTATCAATAGCTATACAATGGGAGTTATAAGAAATAACACTCAGATCAGTGTAAATAACCCAGAAAATGACCTGAGGACTGGAAGAATAACCTCCACAACTAAAGGAAGAGAAGAGGTCACATTGGAGAGGGTAGGAAGGGCAGAGATGCAGTGGGGAGGTAAACAGACCACTGCTGTATGCAGAGAGAGGGGGGTGGGTGGGGAAGGAGCTGGGGAGAAGGGAAACAGATTACCACACCAAGGCACTGAGGAATCCACATGAGGATGATGAATTTCCATAAAATTTGCCTTTGAAAACTAGAGGGGCTAAATTTCATGAGTTCTTACAATCAGCAGGACTTAAAGCCTGGAATTTTACTTTTATGTACTTGTTTGTATTTATTAAGATTTTAAAATAATAATAATAATAATATTATTATTATTATTATTAGAGAGTGTGCATGTGCGTGGAAGAGGAGCAGAGGGAAAGGGAGAGAGAATCTTAAGCAGGCTCCATGCCCAGTGGGGCTCTATCTCATGACCCTGAGATGATGATCTGAGCTGAAATCAAGAGCTGGATGCCACCCAAACACCCCTAAGATTTTTTTTTTTATTTTTAAGAAATCTCTACACGCAGTGAGGAACTCGCACTCACAACACTGAGATCAAGAATTGCTGCTCTACTGACTGACCCAGCCAGGTGCTCCTGGAATTTGTAAAATCAGTGGCTTATCTCTGGGACAGGATGGAGGGTGGGAAGAAACTGAGTCCTCCCCCTTAAAAAGACAGCACAACAACAGCCCACGGAGATACAGCATAGAAGCAGCAGTTCAAAAAAATGCCTGGGGCATATGAGAGGGAGATTTGTTTTCTAGTCTCAGAGATGTACTGGAGGAGCAGGGATCATTGGAAGACTTCTTTAGGAACAAAGGAGCTGGCAGGCATCATTTCCTTCCTTTGCCACCCCCACCCCAACACCCCCAGCAAAAACACACAACCACCTGTAGAAACCAGCACGGCACTGATATTTCACTACCTAACTTGCTAACACCAATCCCCCACCCCCTATCCAACACCTGTGCATGTTGCAGATCTGTCCCCTCCAATGTGCTCTTGTTTGGAGCTCATTCAAACCAGGGACACAAGCCTGGTAATGTGCAAATACCTCCAGCAAGAGTCAGCACCACTCCAAAGTGACTCCTGCTGTACGGAGAGGGAAAGATAATTACACAAGTAGTCATATTGTGGCCCAGCGGTGGGATGGGGGCAAACAGTTGGTCTGATTGCTGGCCCTGCCCACCAATGAAAGAGTCTTAGGGGACAACACAGGGAAAGCACCCTGCAGTTTGGAGCTACTGCATCTCTGGAAAAACCTGGTATATGACTAAACTTCATTCTGGCCCATTAACACTACAGGGACCAAACACTGACCAAAACAGCAAGGACAGCCATTGGAAATGCCTGCACTAAAGGAAAAAGTAGCTCAGCCACAGCAGCAAGGCAAAGAATACACATAGAAGACACCCCAGAAGTGCCAGGTTCTCATGAACAGGGGATACTGCACTGCAGGGCACTACAGGACCTCTTCTTCATCAGGCCACTACTTTCAAGAGTAGGAGATATAGCTGATTTTCCTAACACAGAGAAACAAACACAGAGAATTAGACAAAATTAGGAGACAGAGGACTATGTCCCAAATGAAAGACCAGGACAAAACCACAGCAACAGACCTAAGTGAAATGGAGATAAGTAATATGCCTGATAGAGAACTTAGAGTAATGGTCATAAAGATACTCACAGGACTTGAGAAATGAGAGGAGGACATCAGTGAGATCCTTAACAAAGAGATAAAAAAAGAACTAATCAGAGATGAAGAATACAATAAATAAAAAACACTAGATGCAGCAGACTAGAAGAAGCAGAAGAATGAATCAGTGACCTGGAAGACAGAGTAATGGAAATTAATCAAGCTGAGCAGGTGAAAGAAAAAAAAATGCAAAATGAGAATATATTTAGGGAACTCAGTGACTCCATCACAAGCATAATAACATTTGGATTTATAGGGATCCCAGAAGGAGAAGAGAGAGAAAGCTGGGGGGGGGGGGGTAGAAAATTTATTTGAAGAAATAATAGCTGATAACTTCACAAATTTGCAGAAGGAAACAGAAATCCAGATCCAAGAGGCATGAAGATCCCTCAACAAAATCAACCCAAATTAAATTTAATTTTGTAATTAAAATGACAAAAAGTAGTGATAAAGAGAGAACTTTAAAAGCAGCAAGAGAAAAAGAAGACAGTATGTAACAAAAGAAATTCCCTACGACTACCAGTGGATTTTTAACAGAAACCATGCAGGCCAGAAGAAAGTGGCATGATATACTCAAAGTGTTAAAAAGAAAAAAATCTGTAGCCAAGAATGCTCTACCCAGCTAAACAAGACAAACAAAAGTCAAAGGCATTTATGACCACTTAAACTAGCCATACAAGAAATGTTAAAGGTGACTCTTGGAAAGGAAAGACCATAACTAAGAGTAAGAAAACCAGGAAACACAAAAGCAGTAAAAATAAGTATATTTGTAAAAATGAGTCAAGGGACTCACAAAATAAAAGGGTGTAAAGTATGACACTATATACCTAAAAGTGGAGGTGGGGAAAATGTAGAAGAGTAAAGAATGAGTTCAAACATAAGTAACTATCAACTTAATGTAGACTACTATACGCAGAAGATGTTATATGGAAACTTAATGGTAACCACAAATTATAAAGCAGTAACAGATATTCAAAAAAGAGAAAGGAATCTAAGAATATCACTAAAGAAAGCCAAGTTACCATGAGAGAAGAGGAAAGGGAAGAATGGAACAGAGAACTACAAAAATAGCCATAAAACAAGTAACAAAATAACTATAAATACATACCTATCAATAATTACTTTGTATGTAAATAGACTAAATGCTCCAATTAAAAGACATAGGGTAATGGAATGGATAAAAAAACAAGACCCATTGGGGCACCTGTGTGGTGCAGTCAGTAAGCACCTGACTCTTGGTTTTGGCTCAGGTCATGATCTCAGGGTCATGAGATGGAGCCCCGTGTCAGGCTCTGCACTGGGCATGGAACCTACTTAAAATTCTCTCTCTCCCTCTCCCTCTGCCCCTCCCACTTGTGCTTGCTCTCTTTCTCTCTCTCAAATAAATGAATAAATCTTTAAAAAAAAAAAAAGAACAACAATAGTCATCTATATGCTGCTTACAAAACTCATTTCACACCAAAAGACACCAGCAGATTGAAAGATGGAGAAACATTTATCATGCAGATGGATGTCAAAAGAAAGCCTAGGGAGCAATACTTATAGCAGACAAAGTAGACTTCGGAAAAAAAACCATAACAAGAGACAAAGAAGAAGACTATATAATAATAAAGAGACAATCCAAAAAGAAGACAAAATAATTGTAAATATGCAACCAACATG